TTCTCTCTCTCTCTCTCTCTCTCTCCGAGTCTCCCTCCTCCCTCGACTACTTCGTACTTCTTCCATCTGTCGCGCGCGCTCCACCTGCAACCCTTCTTTGGACACGTCTCAAGGACTCTTCTTCTTTTCTTGCCTTTTCTTTAATCTCTCAGTTCTTTTCCTCTCTTGAATCACCCCCCCTTTCTTCTTCTTTTATTTCGCCCACTCGCCACCCTGTGACTGCCCTATCAACCTGGTGCGCAACAACACCAAGGGATCACCACCTTTGTGCTAGGCTCACGCGCAGTTTGTTTCGGGTTTCCTCCTGACTCACATCCATCGTGTTCAGGCAGATCGACTCCAGATCTCACAGCGTGTTACTAACACAGGTATCAGTTCGATCCTTGTCTTTTGTATGCTCTCATCGGAACAGTGGAACCTGTTCATTGATAGCTAAAGGTTGAGCTACATTCTGTGGTAGCAGCACGTCTCGGCGCCGCACCTGTGGAAGTTAACCTCACACCCTCCTTCTTCATTCCCCCTCGTCCTCTTCATTTCTCGCTTTTCAGTTTTTGTTGTTCCATTTGGACACAAGAGGTTCTCTCTTATCGCACACACTACCTGTACTTGCAATCACTCGGAAGGCAAAGAAGCACTACCTCTGTTTATCAGACACAAATCAACTTCCACTCGGACGTTGGTGAAAAGACCTGTGTGTTCTCTTTGAAGCTGCGTTTGCTTCACAATTGTACGTATTATCGAGCCTTTTTTTCTCTTCTTGTTGTCGGACGTCATTGCCGCCCTGCACCCCCCGTGTTGTTTTTTAAGAGTGTTGAAAACATGGATCTTCTTTCTTCGCGACAAATGACCCAGCTGCCGCCGCGGCTTCTCCAGTATCCGCACCGTCCGATCACCGTTCGATCAATCTTCCTTTTGCTAATTGACCTGGTGTGTCTGCAGACATGTATTTTCACTTGATTCCTCGAAACTGAAAGCCAAGAAGAAAAGAGAGAAAAAAAAAAAAAAGAACTGTATCTTCCCTCACGCAAACCAAATCAAGAAACTGCCTTGAGAGCAAGAAGACCGAGTCATAACTAAATCACAATGGCCACTGAGGATGATAACTTCGACATTGACATCTATGGCGACGGCGGGAGCTACAATGCTAACGACCAGGGCGATGACATCAAGCACGAGGACACGGAGCTCATTCTAGACGCGTCGGACGCCACGCAGAATAACAGCGTCGCTCAGGGCGATGGCTCATCGGAAGGAACCCTGAAGCAGGAAAGTGAAGGGGCTGCGCCCAGCAGCACCGGGAGCGTAGCACATGCAGAAGCCGCCCCCCAACAGACCCACGCCCCAGCTCCCCAGCAAGGTGTGAAGCGCAAGGAACACGATGATCGTCCGACGGATCCCGATGCGACGCCTGCCCTCCTCATCTCGGATCTGTACTGGTGGACCACGGACGATGACATTCGCGGCTGGGTGGCTCAGGCCGGCAGCGAGGATGAGTTGAAGGACGTGACTTTCAGCGAGCACAAGGTGAACGGTAAAAGCAAAGGGTAGGCTTACCTCTATGACTAGGTCCTTGGGGATGGCACTGATACTGATACTCTTTTAGACAAGCATTCGTTGAGTTCACTACCCTCCAGGCGGCCACTGCCGTGAAACACATGATCGAGTCGTTCGCCACGTCGGGGCAGGCCGGACGCAAGCACATGGTCGTCTATACCAGTCCCCAGCCCAACCCTTTCCGCACACTGCCCAAGGATGCGCCCATGCGCAAGGACAACCAGTCGCGATCGATGTCCGGCGGCTTCAACTCTTCTAACCAAAACATGAACTTCGGGATGAACAACATGGGTGGCGGCTTCCGAGGCGGTCGGGGCGGGTTCAACAACCGGGGTGGCATGAACAACATGAACAGCTTTGGCGGGAACCGCAACTTCCAGGGTCCCATGGGTGGCTTCCAGCAGCCGATGGTCGGAGGCTTCCAGCAGAACAACCCGATGGGGATGCAGAACTTTGGGTTCAACAACCGCGGTGGGATGATGGGTGCTGCCATGCGTGGCGGCCCCGGTGGCATGCGCGGCCGGGGCGGCGGCATGGCGGGTGCCAACATGATGGGTATGCCCGCCATGAATCCTATGGGCGCCATGGGGATGAACCCGATGTCCGGGGGAATGAATCCGATGATGGGCGGCATGGGTGGAAATATGGGCATGCAGGGTATGTCTCGAAGTTCTTGACCGGTGTGCTTGCGTAACCTTATTGACTGGGGGGAATTCTTACTAGGACAAGGCGGTTTCCAAGGCCCCAATCCAGCATTCAACCAGGGCTTCTTCCCCAACGCTCAAGGCGGCGATGGGTCATGGAACCCCCACGGCGCCAAGCGCAGCCGACAGGAGTGATATCCTTGCCGTTGGCCTTTCATTTCCCTCTCAACCGGGGCTTCTTTTTTCTAACTGCTTCATGTCCGTGGCCCTGGGCGGTCACGGGCCTTTGATCACTGGTAGTTTTTATGTATCACATGTGCTTTCTCTTTCTAACTTTCGTCTACGTCGGGGTTCATTTTTTCTGGCTTGCTGCAAACGGTTCATATGGGGAAATTGGCATTTGTTTCTTTGCTTGTGTTTCTGTTGTTCATGAGGGCATCGTGTTTGCGGTGTTTTAGACCAATCAAAGGGAATCTTGTATCATCTATTTGTCAGTTGTCTGTTGTCTGGTTTAGATGACCAAGCTGCAATGAGCTATGGAATGGGTACTGTGTATGTGGTGTGGTTGTATACAGAATATTGACAGCGGACAGGATAAACAAAGGCCCGGGGAAGTGATTGAAGTTAAGATGCCGAGTTGAAGCTAAACTAGATTAATCCCACCCGCCCGCCTTCTTATCGGTTCTGTCCGTCCCTCACCTCGTCGTCATCTCTTCTTCCTTCTCCGGTCCCACTAAAATTGCTGCAACTTGCTGGTCTGGTCCATGAAGACAACGGCACGCGACACTCGTTGACTTTGAGCCGACCGCACAATCCTGACCGAGTAGTGTCTTGTCAGTATCTTCCGGGTCCCGACCTCATACAAACAATCGCCAGCGTTTCCCCCGCGGTCCTTGGAATCTCCCCTCCGCTCCCCGCCCACTTGACACCGGCCCGGAGTCCGCCCACGCCCACGCCCACGCCCACGCACAAGCGCACGCACAAGCGCACGCACACTCGCTCATTTATCATTTCTGCTATCATTTGCGACAAATCTCCACGAGATACAATCCATCCACCATGCAGGCCGTTCCCGAATCCCGTCAACAAACCTTCGAGGAGATCTACGGACCTCCGGAGAATTTCCTGGAGATTGAGGTACGCTTTGCTGCCATCGAGACACAAGAATACCATGCCATACCTCCCAAAGCCTACTACATTCATTCACCACCTACCCAATCCCAATTCCTACACCTTAACTAATTCTCAACCCCCCCCCCAAATACAGGTCCGAAACCCTCAAACCCACGGCACCTCTCGCAACATGTACACCTCGTACGAGATCGTGTGCCGCACCAACATCCCCGCCTTCAAGCTCAAGCACTCGGTCGTGCGCCGCCGCTACTCCGACTTCGAGTACTTCCGCGACATCCTGGAGCGCGAGAGCACGCGCGTCACCATCCCCCCGCTGCCCGGCAAGGTGTTCACGAACCGGTTCAGCGACGACGTGATCGAGCACCGGCGCGAGGGCTTGCAGCGGTTCCTGCAGATCGTGGCGGGTCATCCGCTGCTGCAGACGGGGAGTAAGGTGCTGGCGAGTTTTGTGCAGGGTATGTATTGGTTTTTCGGATGTGTCTACGGATGGTGGGTTGTGTGTGTGTGTAAAACTGGTTTGCTGATTTGTGGGAATAGATCCGAATTGGGATCGGAATGCGTGGTAGAGTGTTGGGCTGTAGCATTGGGGGTGGGTGGGTTGGGAGTTCTTTGTCGGTTTGCCGTGTGCTCTTGTGGTGTGGTCTCGTACTTGCCCGCAGGGAGAACAGTTGTGGATGATGCAGCCGTCCTCCGCTCTCCCGGCATACACTCTCAGCCTGCTCCTTCAACCCACCTTCCAGCTCAATCCCGTCGATAGCAGGGACTCCCGACATTTCCTCGACATCTATATACCTCCCCTTCGGCCTTCGATACTCGACATTTGACACCCCCTTTGTTCCCATATAGTGCATCTTCCTCCCCGGTTGGGACCAAATACTGCGTGCATCCCCTATCCATCGCAGGGAGGACCAAAACTCATCTCGCATCCCACATTTTGTTTTTGTCTGTGTGGATTTCCTGCATGTGTTGATTGTTCTATATGTATCTCAGCGACGACTTTGTTTTTTAGCTTATTTGATTTATGATGAGTTGTTGATACCGTTTGAATATGTAGCTGTTGGTGCAGTCTGATTGAGTTTGTCTCCGATGCAGATAGTAGGTATATCAAACCCCGACTGATATCCGGGTTACCTCAGAAGATTGAATACAAAACATCAGCAGCAACAACAACCATAAAAGAAACTCCCCAAGTATATGGAATCAACTTCTCAATACCCCCCCTCCCCCTTTCCTCCCTCCCCCCCTCCCCCCTCTCCCCCCTCCTGCTGCCCCTCACGATTCCCAACTAACTGCACAACAATCCCCACCCCCGAACTACTCCCCACCCTCTCCGCCCCCGCCTCCACCATCGCCCTCCAATCCCCCGCCCCCCTCACCCCACCACTAGCCTTCACCCTCGTCCCCGTCCCCATCCTCCCAGCAACCCACCGCATCACCCTCACATCCTCCACCCTCGCCCCCGGCCCATCAAACCCCGTACTCGTCTTGATATAATCCGCCCCCGCAAGACACGCAACCACACTCCCCGCCACCACCTCCTCCGTCCCCGAAAGTCGGCCCGTCTCCAGGATGACCTTCAGCACCACGTCCGCCGGGATCGTATCCCGAACGGCCCGGATGTCCGCGTACACGGCCGTGTATTGCCCCGCCTGGAGGAGGGGCCGGTTGAGTACCATGTCCAGCTCGGTGGCGCCGGCGGATACGGCGGAGGATGCTTCGTGGGTCTTTGAAGCGGTGGGGTCCGTGCCGTGGGGAAAGGAGATTACGCAGGCTATTCCTGGGGTTGGCTGTGGCTTGAGCTGGGGTGAGGCGGTGGGCGTGGGTGTGGTGGGTTGGGTTTCGGAAGTGGATGGTTGTGGTTGTGGTTGTGGTTGTGGTTGGGACTGAGCTGGGCGGGACAGGTTCTGCACGGCGCGGGCGACGTAGGGGAGGCGGACGCAGACGGTGGCGAAGTGGTGGTGTTGGGCTTCGGTGCAGAGGGTGTCGATTTGCGTGGGGCTGGCGCTGGGGGAGAGTTGGGTGTGGTCGATTGTGAGGGAGGGGTGGGCGGGGAGCGGGTAGGCCGGGAAGGTGGTGGTGGTGGATTGGAGCTGTTGGAGGGTTGCTGTGATGAGGGCTTTCCAGCCGGAGTCGGTTTGGGGGGTTGCGGGGGGCATGGTTTGGTGGTTTCGTTTGGTGGTGGTGGTGGTTAGGGTTGTGGTAAGGGTTGTGAATGTGGATTGTGAATGTAGGGTGGGTTGGAGATGGATACTGTGCTTGTTAGTTTGATGCTGAGTGTGAGTTTGAGGAAGGGGGGAGAGTACTATACAGATTCCACTGGTGACCGTTGGTGGTGTAAACAAGAGAAATGGAACGTACACACAGAAAGAGTGGAAGAGTGGAATTGCGGGGGCGGGGAGGGAGGGGGGGGGGAGAGGCTGTATGTTTGCGGAGAAATATCCACGTGATGTTGATATCAATATCAATATCAAACCGCCATCCCATCTGTCTTCGATCCAAATCCATAGATCTACTCAACATCCTCACATCATCCAGTATTTACCCATCCCCAATCCCAAATCGTTAAGGAAACAATAATCAAATTTGGACACCCCAGTGCTAATATCAAACTCCCCCTTCCAATAAACCTATCCCCTGCATAAAACACCCTTTATCCACAGCTCTTACACTCCGGCCCACGAACATCATCCACGCGACCAATCTTCCTCGGCCCAAATCCCCTCGGGCCTCCCCCAGGACCTCCCCCAGGACCACCACCACCACCGCTACCCCCGCCCCCAAAAAGTCCCCATCGCGACCTAGATCCCGAGGTATTCCCCTTCCGGTGGATATTGAACTGCGAATTCTGCGCCGCGGCGTAGGGATCGAGCTATAATTTGCAAGAAAGCCATTAGTATCAGCTAATCCCAACGCCACAACACAAGTCTGCATAAGTAGCAGCGGAAAGGCAGCAACCCTCACAACCACCTAACCACACAAGACGCAACCCCATAACCAAGAAGAGGATGAATGACTCACCGAGAACAAGCTCACAAGATACAAACCCAAAAACACATATACACTCTCGAAGAACCGACTGACTCGGACGGAGAATGGGGGGCTAGACGGAGTAGACGGAGATTAGCACGGTGCTTGGTGCTTCGGGCCGAAGGGGGGCATGGCATATGGCCATATCGTGGTGGTTACCTTCCGAGGACGCGGCCGCCGGACACGTAGGTTCGGGGTTCGGGCGCCATGCTTTATTTAGGGGGTCGTAGGCAGAGTGGGTATGTTTGAGGTTGAGGTTGAGGTTGATGAAGGGAAAGTTACAGTATGGCGTCAGATGAAGTTGCCATCATCGTTCCATTTCGCAGGGGAGGGACTCGCTCGATTGGGGTTAGTGGGGATTATGCCGGAAGTGGGGAGGCTATTTATGGTCCTGCTGAGTCACTATCCACCGGCCTATAATTCCATGGTTCTTAGTTCTCATGAAGAGTTGCTGGAAGTATAGCGCAACCCAACTAGGAAATTGGTATCATCCTCAGCTCAGCTCAGCTCAGTTTAGAAGTATGAGTCCTACCATACTTGAGTTAGCCTTACGAATTTGATGCTGCCCCTGTCGTAGTAATTCAGCTTCTTCAACTAAAAATGCAGGTACTCAGCATAAAAGCCTCCTCCCCTCCCCCCCATCCATACCCATACCCATACTCAACTCACACCACCACCACCACCAAACAATCATCTCCCCCCCAAAATGCCAATTATAAACCTGACCTTGCTACATCTCTCCACGGCCCTCCTTCCAACCTCAACCCCCACCGCAATTCCAACATCCCACCACCTCCACACCCACCTCACAACCACAACCCACCCCAAAACAATCAGCATCTACACCCAACTCGAAGACCCAAGCATCATCTACCTCCTCCATGAGGACTCCACCACCAAGAATCAAATCCCCATCACAACCCAAGCTACAATCGAAATCACCCACAAATCCACCCACAGAATCGACCTCGACCTCCCAGCCCAGACCCTCCCACTGACCGCCCCCGTCCTCGCGATAGGTCGGTACTTCATCCGACGTGGCCAACGCGCCGAGTTCCAGCGGACGTTTGAGGCGAGCAAAGCCCATCTTGAGGCGTTCACGGGTCCGTATCCGCTGGTGGGCGGGTGGGTTGCTGGGGGTGAAGGGGGTGATAGGGAGGATACAGCAGATACAGACGACGGGGCAGCGGAGTTTGTTCTGTTTAGTGGGTGGGATACTGTTGAGAGGCATTTTACGTTTGCGGAGACGGAGGGGTTCAGGGAGTTTATGAGGATCAAGGAGTTTATGGAGGGGGCGGAGATTAAGCATGCTGTGAGGTGGGAAGGGGGTGTTTGAGGGTTGTGTTTGTTGTGTCGTTGTGGAATTAGGTATTGTGTATATTAGGTGCTGTGGTGGTTAAGGATCTCAACTCTTACTTATACAGTGTGGTACTATGCTCAGCGTGATATTATGCCGTTAGAACAGTGCTAGACAGCACAAGGCAGATCCACAACCAATTGCTTGAAATACTATGTACTGTACATCATGCAACGAGGGTCACGACAAAAGTATAAGCTCCAAACCCATCACAAGGACAGGCTAAGTTCGGACTCAGAGGATCTCCATTCAACCAGACTCGCCTCTTCCTCCGTCTGCGACGTCAAAGCAACCGTATCGCCTTATCCAAATCAACATCCTCACCCTTAGAGACACCGTCTTCAGCAAGTCGTACCGCAGCAACACCAGCCAGCTCCCCAATAGACGACCCGCCCAGAAATCGTAGCATCGGGAGTTCAACCCCGACCTCCTTCACAAACCATTGCCGCAACCCAATGGCCATCAACGAGTCCACCCCCATCTCGCTCAACACGTTACCAGGAGTCACGGACTCCCCATCGGGGAGACGCAGCCTCGAGCGAACCTCCCCAATGAAGCCCGTAGTGATTATCTGTATAGCGTCGTCGATGCCATTGGCTTCCTTCAACTGTACTTTCATCTCCACAGTGTCCTTACGGACGCATGCTCCACTAGAGGGGCGTCCACTCTGATCAATGAAGCCCCACGCTCTTGGATTCCGGAACCATATTGCGTCAGGATGTTTGGCGGCATTCACAAACTCGAAACCCGCGATAATATCTGCATTTCTGCCCGCTTCAACCCGTCCAGCAAGGATTGCCTCCGCCATAAGTTCATGCAGATCATTTTCAGACAGCTGTGAGCTGCTACTGCCCATTGTTTTCTGAAGGATGTCGTGCAAAGCAGAATCTGCGCGGGCAAGATAGCCCACTCCCCCAATCGATGTCGGGTGGATCATGCTTCCCACTCGATTCTGCTTGCGGCGCCGCTGGATAAGCGCAGACATGAAGTGGGTAGCTGCTGAGTAGGCCGCCTGGCCGATGTTGCCCATCGGTCCGGCGGCTGACCCAAAGAGGATGAAGAAGTCCAGATCGAGGGGACCGAATATCTCATCAAGAAGAAGGCTTCCTTGCACCTTGGGGCTAAGTACTGATTGAAAATCTGAGAAATTGATATTGGCGAACATTTGGTCCTTAAGTATCATCGCACCATTAATGACTCCCCCTATTGATGGTAGTTGGGCAGAGAGTGTATCGTATGCAGAAGTCACTGATACGCGACTCGTAACGTCCCTAGAATATCTGGTCAGTAGCTATCAGCGAGAATGTTGAAGAAAACTGACATTGTAAATGGAATTACGCGAGCCCCCAAACTCGCCATCTCCCCAATCCACAGAGGGTCGATCTTGGGGAATCTGCTGCTCATGACAACACACCGCGCACCTCGATGAACCATCCATCGACAGACCGATTGACCTAGACTTCCAGTCATCCCAACAAGGAGATATGTTCTGTCTGGTGATAATCTTATCGCCGAACTTGCCGTCTGAATTTCGACTGGGATTTCATCATGCACAGTCCAATCCACGACTGCTTGACGGGAAAGATCTGTATGCATGCCGTGGATGTCACGAAGAGAAATTATATCAGTCGCTTCGTCTGCCTCCATTGCCTGCAAAGCAAACCCATATGCGCTCAGGAACGTCTGGCTCACAGCGACTGGATTGCTGAGCCTCGTGATGCTTGAAGATCTCCGACATACGTTGGTCAGCTTGACTTGAGCAACATCCTCTGAGACAACCGCTGCGATCCGAGAGAACAACTCAGGCTTGCCTTCTTCAAGCTCAGCAATGACAGACAGGTCAGAAGGTAAAATGCGCGCGAGAAAGCGCACTGATTCATTGTTGTGAATGAACAACGAGTGCTTTCCCGGTGAGGCCACAAAATCGCTAGTGCTGAAATAGACTTGCATCTGTCGCACAGCACCCAGAGCCATGAACGCCTCCTGTTTCAATCTGCTTATCGATTCGAGCCCGTGAATCAGTACTGACATATTAGGTATTCCAGAGCTCAGTACACTAATAGCCATGATTGCTGCAGCCATCCTATCTAGAAATGTAGGCTCCACAACTTCAGGGAGATGCTCCGGCATCCGAAAGCAATAACCCAGAGGCACAGAGATCAACGAAGCTTGCTGCGACGATAGGGCAAACCAACGTGTCCGGTCACTCGTATCGCGGCCTATCACCAAGTAGAGATATCCAGCACCTTCTATATGATAAGCGTTCAAAGTGGAGTAGCTCGCAACAAGCCAGCGCTGATGAGAGGTATCTCGACAGTCGTCAACCTTGCTGCCTGCTCTTTCAGACAAAACAAATTCTCGACGTCGATTTGAAGGTGGAATGATATGCACCACTGATTGATGCAAATTGGCATACCTGTTTAGTCTGCGCCGACCAGCTATGTACCGATTATTCATTGCGTCGCTAAGATGAAATCGTGGAATCTGTAATGTGCCATTGACGAGCCTTAACTCCGGCTCAATGCTATGCACGCAACCTGAAAGCGTGAAGTCATTGTCTCCAGTGGTATGAGACAGTCGCAAGAAGATTGTAGCCAGTCCCGGTGCAGTAATCTCAGCTCGATCAGGAACATTCAGGTATTGACAGAGGAGCTGCGGGTTCTCGTATGCAACGCAGTTTATGATGCCTTTAGCCATCGCCCAGTATGGATCCTGGCTCTCGTGTCCGACAGTCACCCAGAGAAGCCTGCTGGCATGATTCATTAGCGCCTTGAGTCCACCCAGACGCTCTTCCGTGAAGTCTTTATAACAAGAAAAATCGGGATCCGTCAAGACTAGGACATGTGATTTGGATAGGTCTTGCTGATCCAGCACCTCTATTGTCGATGCAACGACCACACGAGAGAAAAAACGAGCCAGAAGCGCCTTGAGCCCTGATACAAGACTCGCAGTCGCGTTTGTTGCTCCCCCAACAATCCAAACATCGTTCTCAAGGCGGCCTGAGAACGTCCATGGATTACGTTGAAGCATGATTGCCTCATCGGTAGCTTGCGAGACAAATGTCGAATTGAACTCAAGTTCATTGGCAGGCGAGATTGCTTCGAAACCACCAAAACCATTCTGCTGAAGCAGCTTCTCCCAATCCTGGATACTTAAGATTGGACTCCACTGGCGAACGTTGTCGCCATCTTGCCACCACTTTGCAGTACCACAATTTGCCAGCATAACACGACTGATATCGAGATTAGTTCCTTCCCGCGCAACTAGATAACCACCAGGTTTGAGCAAGCGCCGGACATTCCCCATAGTCTCACGAAGCCTCTGAGATTGGGACAGAGAGTTAGCAGCAATGATTATATCATATCTTTCATTCTCAAAGCCTTGTTCAACCAAGCTCTCTTCAACATCAAGTCGTTGTAAGATCAGTTTGATGTTATTATCGCCGGCGAAGGTCTCATATGCCTCTGAGAGCCGACTCGCTGATGTGTCTGTAATGGTGTATGATTGGTAAGAGCTGCCGATCTTATTGAGAACGGATCTTGCTATTAATCCACTCCCTGCATTGAGCTCTAGGATTTTCGCTTGAGGATAGCGAAAGACCAACTGTCCGACAAAGGTTGCAAGCTCAGAGCTGCTAGGGTCGCTTTCAAAAGGATCCAGATACAACCTTCTAGGTTCAAAGTCATCATTGTCGTGACAGAGTGGGAAAGGGTTGGAGACTCCCTGCAGCATGCTGGACAAATTCTCTCCAGCTACCCGCAAATTGTGCCAACCCAGGCTTGTTTCATCTGTGATCTCTAGCACTTCGTCGATGGTGTCATTCAACCACTCAGGTTGATAAATAGGATGAGTGCCATCACGAGTCATCTGCAAGACGCTTTCCATCCACCTCATCACACTTGCACGGTACGGATCCATACGCGCATAGTCCAGTGCTGTCAGCGTCTCCCAGGCGTCCTTTATGTAGAGTAGAGCACACTGCTCCGCGCAATACAAGTTTAATTCGGTCTCTGGATCTGCACCAGTCTTGCTTGGCACAGAATGAGGCACAAGCGGTCCCCAGACTATCTCAGAGAAGATATTACGATCATCAGGGATGGCGAGTGGAGCGACCTGAAAGCCTTCGATGAGAAAGACGCCTTGACCCTCGCTGTTGTAGGTGTGAATATCCGCCTTCGCTCCGTCGGTCGTCTCCTCAAGAAGAGCAGTATCAACAATCAAATCCTGGGTTTCGTTCAACGATTCTGCTCGGCAGAGTAATGGGTTCATGACAATATGCTCTATTTGTACGGGCACACTTGGTGTCTGTAGCTTTACAGCAGCCAGCATACCATGAAGACTGGAGTCCATGGCTGCTGGATGCAGCGTTGACGATGATGTGTTATTGCAGATGACGACACCTGTCGACCCATTCGATTGGCGGGCAACAGCTTTGAGGCCTCGAAATGCACCACGGTAGTCCAGACCGAACTTCTCCAAGCCGGCATAGAAGCTGTCGATGTCCACCGGTCTTGTGAAAGGCGTTGGCATCCGTCGTGGAGGTAGCGCCATTGCGTCTGTTTCACCCAGGGAAAGCGTGGTTCTCCCCGAAGCGCAGACCTTCAAACTTCCTCCAATATTGGCATAACAGGTAAACGTGCCTAGAATTTTATGATCTTTCATGGACTCCCGCTCAGCCTTAAAGATAACCTCAACACCTTGGGGGTCGTCTGGGATGTTAATGGCGCGCTTGATGTGCATTTCATCAATCTCGAGCAAGCGCAAACACTGTCCCTGAGTCATTATGAGGGCCGCCTCGAGCATCATGACAATGTAGCCTGTGGCAGGAAATATAGCCTGAGACTGCACTCTATGATCGTTCAACCATACCAGCTCTGTCCGACTGAGAAAGTTCCGCCATCGCCATTCATTCTCTGCGGTCTCAGGACTGAGTGCCCCCAGCAGATAATGGGGTGGGTCAGCACGGTGCAGACGGGCTTTGGTCAAGCGAGACATAGCCCAGTAAGAACGAGTATGGTCGAAAGGGTAGGTTGGTAGATCTTTCAAGAAGTGGGAGTCATAATCAAGGTCGAACAGCCTGATAAGTTTTTGAGTCTCGAGACCTGGTAACTGATGGTCCCAGAAGAGTGCGATA